CACCTGTGCTGTGTGTGAGGTGACAGGAACACCTGTGTGTGTGTGAGGTGACAGGAACACCTGTGTGTGTGTGAGGTGACAGGTGCTCCTGCCTGTGCTGTGTGTGTGTGAGGTGACAGGAGCTCCTGCCTGTGCTGTGTGTGTGTGAGGTGACAGGTAGGGCTCCTAGCCCTGTGCTGTTGTGTGTGTGTGTGAGGTGACAGGAGCTCCTGCCTGTGCTGTGTGTGTGTGTGTGAGGTGACAGGTGCTCCTGCCTGTGCTGTGTGTGTGTGTGAGGTGACAGGAGCTCCTGCCTGTGCTGTGTGTGTGTGTGTGTGTGTGAGGTGACAGGTGCTCCTGCCTGTGTGGTGTGTGTGTGTGTGTGTGAGGTGACAGGAGCTCCTGCCTTGCCTGTGGTGGTGTGTGTGTGTGTGTGAGGTGACAGGTGCTCCTGCCTGTGCTGTGTGTGTGTGTGTGTGTGTGTGTGAGGGTGACAGGTGCTCCTGCCTGTGTGTGTGTGTGTGAGGTGACAGGTGCTCCTGCCTGTGCTGTGTGTGTGTGTGTGTGTGAGGTGACAGGAGCTCCTGCCTGTGCTGTGTGTGTGTGTGAGGTGACAGGTGCTCCTGCCTGTGCTGTGTGTGTGAGGTGAGGTGACAGGTGCTCCTGCCTGTGCTGTGTGTGTGTGTGAGGTGACAGGTGCTCCTGCCTGTGCTGTGTGTGGTGTGTGTGAGGTGACAGGTGCTCCTGCCTGTGCTGTGTGTGTGTGTGAGGTGACAGGTGCTCCTGCCTGTGCTGTGTGTGTGTGTGAGGTGACAGGAGCTCCTGCCTGGGACACCTGGTGTGGCAAGTTGTTCCTGTTTGTCAGCCCACGTGCCGTGAGAGCTCTTGTCCCCTGAAGGCTGCGTCCTGCGTGTGACCCCATCTTGGACAGGGAGGCTTCGGGAGGGGGCGTGGCGAGTGTTGGCTGTGGCTGTGGGTTTGCGTCCCCCTCCTGAGCCCATGGCTGCCTGCTGCTCTGGCTCTGGTCCCCTGTGTGCTGGGACTTTTCTTCCGTGTTCTGAGCGTGTGCCGAGCCGGGAGCGCTCTGTCTCTCCGGGGATGGCCCCGGCGTTGGGTGGCTCTGTTGGTTCCCTTTCTGCTGAAAGCCCGAGGTTTTCCTGTTCTTGTTGTCTTTTCGAGTTGTGTCGCATGCATTTGGGGTGTCATGTGTTGAGACTCGGGGTCCCGTTAGACACCGGCCAGGTGGGCTCGTATCTGTTGGCAGGTGCCCTTGTGGTCAGGCTGAGGAGCATGTCCGGGCCACCCTCTGTGGGCCGCAGGTCACTGTGGTCCAGTCTTCAAAGCCTCTGTGGTGTCTGGCCTTCCCACCGTACCAGGTGGAGCCGGGCTGGCGTCTGTGGGGTGCCCAGGGTAGGCGGCGTAGGGGTGCTTGCTCCGTGGGTTCATCTCGCCCGGGCATTGGTTGTCTGCGTTCCAAGCTCACGTCCCGAGATCAGAGCTGCGTGCTCTCTGTGCTCCCCAGGGCCAGCCTGGAACCCTCCTCCCGCCTCCCCGGCCGTCCTGGACCAGTGGAGGTGCTGGCGCTCCGCCCAGCTGGCGGTCAGCAGCGTGGGTCCGCCCGTCACAGCTCCGTGTCGGAGGCACAGGCGTGGCGCTCACGGCTCCCAGGGCCGAGTCCCTCAGCGTCTCGCTGCAGGCGCTGTGGTAGCCGGGCAGGCCCGCCGTGGGCAGGGACCCGGCACACAGCACCTCCCGTCCTGCAGCTGCTCCGCCCAGAGCCTGCTGGGACGCGTCCCTCCTTTCTCTCGCGCCCGCTGCCTGAGCCTGCGTGCGGCACCGCCGGCCCGCCTAGTGCGGGCGTGGAGGAGCCTGTCGGCGAGCCGGCCAGCTGGCCAGCTGGTCTCCTCTGGTCTTTTTTTTTTTTTTTTTTTTTTTTTTAAAGACAGAGTTACAGAGAGGGAGGAGAGGCAGAGAGAGAGAGAGAGGTCCTCCATCCTCTGGCTCACTCCCCAGATGGCTGCAACGGCTGGAGCTGCGCCGATCTGAAGCCAGGAGCCAGGAGCTTCTTCTGGGTCTCCCACGCGGGTGCAGGGCCCAGGCTCTTGGGCATCTTCCACTGCTTTCCCAGGTCACAGCAGAGAGCTGGACTGGAAGAGGAGCAGCCAGGACTAGAACCGGTGCCCATATGGGATGCCGGCGCTTCAGGCCAGGGCTTTAACCCGCTGCGCCACAGCGCCGGCCCTTGCCTAATTCTTCTTACTCAGTCTCCTGTGACAGTCCGGTGAATCACTTCGCGCTGATTCTGTGAGAGTGGCCCCCCAGGACGGTTCTAGTTGGTAGATGGTGGGAGGCTCAGCGGGGAGCCGGTCTCCTGCGCCTGCAGCCGTGGCCCCGCCTCCTCCCTTGGGCCCTCCCTGCGTCCCAGACGGCCGGCCCTCCGCTGGGCCCGGGTCCCTCTGCACAGTTCCGAGTGTCAGCAGGCCGCTCTGGAAAGCGGGGCCAGGAGGGAGGGTCACCACCTCTGCGCTCTGGAGGGGTCGCTGTGCAGTGAGATGGAAGTGCCCCCTGCACTGTCTGCAGAAGCAGCCCAGAGCAGGCAGGGCCAGGGAAGGGCAGGGGGAGAGGGAGCGTCCCCTGAGGGTGCAGGCCGGGCAAGGGGAGAGGGAGCCATCCCCTGAGGGTGCAGGCCGGGCAAGGGGAGAGGGAGCCGTCCCCTGAGGGTGCAGGCCGGGCAGGGGGAGAGGGAGCCGTCCCCTGAGGGTGAGGTGTCGCTGAGCCGGGCCTCCCTGGCTCGTGCACTCAGAAGCCCGCCTCGGCCTCCCGCTGCTGCCCCGCGCGGCCGTGTCCCGGCGAGGGCGGCTCCCGCTCCCCCGGTCCCGCCGCTCCGACCGCTCCCTGGAAGCCTGAGAGGCAGAGGTCTTCTCCAGCCTTCCGGAGCTGGGCTGGGTGCCCGCCTTGCCCGCCCGTGGTTACCGTGGTGACCACATGGGCACCCACAGCAGTGCGCACGGCGGCTGCGCCGGTAGAGATGAGAAGGCCGGTGTGAAGTGTCACGGTGCGGGGGGACGACAGGGAGCCAAGAGCCGTGGTGGGTGACTCAGACTCAGAAATGCACCTGTGGGGCGCGTCGCGGGGCGGGGCCGGGTGGGTCAGGAGTCCCGCGGGAGCCCGGCCTGGCTGACTTGGGCGCAGCTCCGTGTCCCTGTGTGTGGTGCCCCGTGCCGGCGGCTTCCTTCGGTCGCTGTCCCTGGAGCTGTTGGCAGACCGGCTGCTCTGGAGTCGCCAGGGGGCCAGGGAGCAGCAGGGAGCTCCCGGGCAGCCTCCGGGCAGGCGCCCCGCGCGGTGTGGCCTCCCGCCTCCGGCCGGGTGTTCCTCCCAGAACTCCGAAACCGTCCCCTGGTGCTGGTGCCGGGGGAGGAGTGGGCGCCCCCCACCGAGGACTCGGATTCGTGAGGCCGCTTGGCCGCCGTGTCGCTTCCCTCACCCACCCCACACAAACCCCCGTCTTCTGGGCCTCGCACACACGTAGGCTGACGGCTACGCCGCCTGCTTAACGGAGAAAGTAGACTTTGAAACTCTCGGGGGGGGGGGGGCACACTGCAGCTACTGCGGCGTCCCGGGGCTGGAGCCTGCTGAAGGGCTGGGGTCCTTGGTGAGGGTTTGTGTTCCCGCATGTGTTTCGGCCGCCGTCCCTCACCCGCTGTGGGACAGCCGCTGGCCCCTGTAAAGCAAGAGGCACAGAGCTGGGCGTGCGCCCTGCGGAGGAGTGGGCTGACGCCTGACCGGCGCTGTGCCCTGCGCGGGCCGCGGCCCTGGTGGGAGGCTGCGTGTGCCTAACGTGTGCGGAGCCCTCGGCCGCGTGTGGGCTGCGGTTGGCCTCTGCCTCCTGTGACCTTGGCCGCTTCACCGTCTGCGCAGTTTCCCCGTCTGTAGCGTCGGCGCAGCCCCGATCTCGCGTGATCGTCGGGAGCGTCAAGCAGCCTGGTTCTTGTAGGTTCAGTGCCGCCTGCGGCAGAGCTGGACAAAGGCTCCGGGCTGCCTGAGCCATCGTCATGGTTACGGCGGCAGCGGGTCTGGCTGTTGGGTCTTTGTTGTCGCCTTGGATTTGGTCTCAGAAGGAGGGCACTCTGGCCTCCCCGCAGGGCTGTGCCCGCTCTGCCCGTGTGCCCTCACCGGGTGCGCACCTGTGCAGGCCTGGTGCTGCGCGACTGCCTTTGTCCCTGCTCACACGGCCGCGCGGCACGGCTGTCCCGCTCTGAGCCCTGTGGTGTGCGTCCGACTCGGTCGCCATGGCAACCCCTGGGCCCGGCTCCAGCTGTCCCTTGGGCTGCCGACGCCCGGGACGTGCGCACCTGCCGGCTGTGCCGTGCTTGCCCGTGCTGCCCGTGTGGCCGCAGGCTGAGCGCGTGTGGCGGAACCGTCTGCCTGGCCCTGTGTCGGGTCGCCCTGCGGGTGGAGCGTGGGGGGTCGTGAGCGTGCATCGCAGCCTCACGGGGACCTCTGCTTGTCCTAGACAACGTCCCTGAGGACCTCAGAGACCCCTTCTACATGGACCAGTACGAGCAGGAACACATCAAGCCGCCCGTCACCAAGCTTCTGCTGTCCAGCGAGCTGTACTGCCGCGTGTGCAGCCTCATCCTGCCAGGCGACCAGGCGGCCGCCCTGCACGGGCACCAGGCCGTCATCCAGGCCCTGTCCCGGAAGGGGATCTACGTGATGGAGGGCGACGACACCCCTGTGACGGAGCCCGACCTCAGCCGCGCGCCCATCAAGATGGTGAGTGCCTCACGCTCCCCCAGCCGCGGGCTCTGCCGGCGCGAGCGGCTTCGATGGGTGGGGACGAGCGGCCTGGCGACGCTCTCCCACGTGGCCTCGCCGGCTGAGGGCGAGGCGTTTAGAGGGCCGTTCTGACGCCGCCTCTACGCGGAGCGGGTGGTGCCGGCGTCGGGCCTGTCCTGGCTGTGTTTGACCCTTCATTTTTCTGTTTCTGTGAGGTGAACTGAAGGGCGTAGTGGCGCCCCTCCTTCCTTACTCTTTCTTTCATTTTTACGAAGAACTTTGAGTCTGTTCTACAGTCACAGCTTAGCCCCCCGCCAGCAGAGGGCGCACCGGGCGCGGAGCAGGCCTGTGTGTGCGGGTGAGCGTCCCGTGCCTCGCTCGGCCTCTCCCGTGAGCACTTGCTGCCTCCGGGCGGGGCTCCCAGGGCTCTCCGTGTCTGCACCGTGCGGCGCCTCCAGAGGGCTCTGCTGAGCCGTGACTCGTGTCCCGTGCTCTGGAGGCGCCGTCGCGGGGGCGTGGCTGGGCGTGGGCCGGCACACGGCACCTGCCAGGGGACCCCCACGGGCCGACGGGCGGGGAAGGGACAGGAGCAGGGCACTCCTGTGTGGCCACTCTGCCTCCTGGGCACCTGGTGGAGGCGCAGGCGAGGCCGAGGGGCCTGCGGGGTTCTAGCTGCTGCTCCTGCCCCCAGAGTGCTCACATGGCCATGGTGGACGCCCTGATGATGGCCTACACCGTGGAGATGATCAGCATCGAGAAGGTGGTGGCCAGCGTGAAGCGCTTCTCCACGTTCAGCGCCTCCAAAGAGCTTCCCTACGACCTGGAGGACGCCATGGTGTTCTGGATCAACAAGGTGGGTCGGCCCGAGCGCCGGGCCTCGCCGGGCGCTTCCTGGTGAGCGCGGGGGGGTGGAGCAGTGTGCGTGGAGACGCCGCACGCGGTTCTGCCGCGCATCCGGTGAGGAGGGCGGCGGCGTCTCCTGAGTGCCGCTTCCCGCCTGGAGGCCGCAGTGCCCTCCCCCGGCTCTGACAGGGTCGTGATCAGCTGCAGGGACAGTGTCCATCAGGAGCGTTAACACAGAGGGAAGCAGCCGGCTCCGTGGCCTTGTGGAGCGGTGGCTGGTGCGCCCGAGACCCTGGGGGCCGGGTGCCACGTCTGCACGCTCGCTGGAAGGCCCCGGGCCCCGTGCCGTCGCCTCTGCTCTCTGGGGGGTGGGTTTGGGGAGTCAGTCCCTTCATCTTGGCTCACTGTGAGGTGGGGGAGAAGTCAGGCCCGGTTTGTGTGTGGACATGGGCCCGCGCTGCCCCTGCCCGAACCCCACTGCCCAGGGAAAGCCTGGTGCTGGACACCCCGTCCACCTCCCGTGGCTCTCGGGGAACCGGTGACACGGTGCTGCTCTGCGGGGCAGGAGCCGGGGCCTGTGGCTGACGTTCATGTTCTAGCTTTTCTTTAATCCTTCTGAGAGACACGAGGTGCACGCTAGAGGAAGTTGGGAAGCTGTAGGTGAGCGCAGGCCTGGAGAGGCCCGCGTCCCGCCCGCCGTGGGGTGGCCCGCGTCCCGCCCGCCGTTGGGTGGCTGTGTCCCGCCCGCCATGGGGTGGCGCGCATTCTGGGGCCGGGACGGGAGCCCCTGCCTCTCCGTCAGGTCCTCTCGCGCTCATGGGTGCAGGGACCTCTCCCGCACGCCGCAGGCCGCAGCGACCCCCAGCCCCCTGCGCGCCGCGTGTCCAGCGCCGTGGTAGGGGCAGACCCAGCCGCCCTGCTGCAGGGAGTGCTTGTGACGAAAACAAGACGTTTGCTTGTTTTGTTCTCTCTCTTTCTTGGCAAATCTGACCGTGAAGATTCTATCTTTTTTCTTTTGTTTTTTTTAAGACTTACATATTTATTTATTTATGTGAAAGGCAGAGTTGCAGAGAGACAGAGAGATCTTCCATTTACTGGTTGACTCCCCAAATGCTACCATGTCCAGGGCTGGGCCGGGCTGAAGCCAGGAGCCAGGAGCTTCTCTGGGTCCCCCATGGGTGCAGGGCCCAAGCACTTGGGCCCATCCTCCACTGCCTTCCCGGGCCACAGCAAGGACCTGGGTCAGAAGTGGAGCAGCCAGGACTCGAACTGGCATCACAGGCGGCAGCTCTGCCCTCCGTGCCACGGCGCCGGCCCTCTGCCGCTTTCTGCGCTGTGTGCTGCTATCTTCTTCCTGTCTCCGTACGTGGATATTCTTAAATACTTCCTAATTTGAAAGATGGAGAAACGCATTATGTTTCTTCTTTCACTGGCAAAACTATAGGGGTTGGGGCCTGTGCTGTGGCCTGCTGGGTAAGGCTGCTGCCTGCAGTGCTGGCATCCTGTACGGACGCTGGTTCAAGTCTCGGCTGCACCACTTCCAACCCAGCTCTCTGCTGTGGCCTGGGAAAGAAGTGGAAGATGCCCGAGTGCTTGCCCCTGCACCCACGTGGGAGACCTGGAAGACGCTCCTGGCTCCTGGCTTCAGATCAGCCCAGCTCCAGCCATCACCACCATCTGGGGAGTGAACCAGCGGATGGAAGACCTCTCTCTCTCTCTCTCTCTCTCTCTCTGCCTCTGCCCCTGCTTCTCTGTAAATCTGACTTTCAAATAGATAAATCTTCAAAACAAAAACAAAACCCTCCAGGGGTTAAGCTGCAGCTTGGGCCACTGGCGCCCCCTATTGGCCTGCCGCCGGCTCACCACTCTGCTTCCTGTCCAGCGCCCTGCTCGGCTGCCTGCAGAGGCGCCAGGTGACGGGCTGTGCCGTCCATGGGGGAGAGCCGGGAGTGAACCAACAGATAGGTCATCTCTTTCTGTCTCTCCCCTGGCCTCTCGCTCTGCCTTCGAAATAAATTAATCAAAAAACCCAGCGCATGTAGTGCCGTGTCCTCCTGGGTAAGTCACTGCTCACTGCGTCCGGTTTCTTTCACTGGGGCGGGGCTGGGGCGCCCGTGCCCCCTCCCCGTCTGGATGAGGTTTCTCATCAGTTCCCACGTGTGTGTAAGTGGCCTCCTGTATTGGTCGCCTGTGAAGTGGCTTCGTGTATCGCCACGTGTGTCGTGTGTGAGCGGTTTCACCCATGTCACGTGTGTGAAGCGTGTATAGTGGCCTCATGTATCTGTCATGTGTGAGTGGCCTCATGCGTTTGTCACACATGTATGAGACACGTGCTTGCACATGTTTGTAAGTGACCTCACGTATTTGTCGTGTGTGTCAGGTGTGTATAAGTGGCTTCCCTGGCCGTCGGCCCTCTCTGCCGGGGACGTGGTGGGTGGAGAAGGTGACCTTCAGGCGCCCCCGCGACAGTGCCCGGCGCCCCCCCCCCCCCCCCCCCCCCGCGTTTCTGGCTCTTGATGGGTGCTCGGTGCTCCTGCGGCCTCCACCCCCGTCTCGCCGTCCTGTGCTGCGCCGATGGTGTGGGCGTGCCGTGGTCAGACTTCACGCGCCTTCTCACACGCGCTCCGTCCGTCCTGTCTTCAGGCCTCTCCTTCCCTCACCCAGGACTCGTGTTTGTCCCGTGTTTTCCGTGTTCTGTGTCGTGCGTGTTTCCGTGTGGAGTTCAGTTCCTCGTGTTAGTGGTGTTCACTTGGGGACCTGGGGCCTGCTCTGACGCTGGCGGCGGTGGGAGTCCCGCCTCTCCCCGTGTGTCCTCTGCCCCTGCGCTGCCGCCCTGTGCTCAGCCCGTCCTTGGCGTCTGACCCGTAGGACGCGCTCCCCCCACCGGGTTCCTGGGTCCTCGCCAGGGTGGGTTCTGAGTTTCTCGTTCTTGGTGGTGTCGCCCAGGACTCCGTCTGCCCAGCCGAGGCTGTCTGTGTCTGCGCCCGCTGCCCCCTTTTCTCCTCCTGGCCCAGACCTCCCAAGGGGGGGCGGGCGTGGTGCCTGCCTGAGGTGCCTGAGACGACACACACCTGCACGAGCCCAGCCCGCCCCGCGTGGACAGCTCTGAGCCCCCTGGGGGTGCTGCCCACTGCCCACTGCCGCCGTCGGCGCCTGTCCTGGGCGTGACCTGCCCACCTGCTTCCACCTCTCCTTTCCTGGGTGCTCTTTTTTGTTGTTGTTCAAGATTTATTTATTTATTTGAAAGGCAGAGTTAGAGAGAGAGAGAGAGAGAGAGACAGAGAGAAAGGTCTTGCATCTCTGGTTCACTCCCCAGTTGGCCACAACGGCCAGAGCTGAGCCGATCTGAAGCCAGGAGCCAGGAGCGTCTCCCTGGTCTCCCACGTGGGTGCAGGGGCCCAAGCACTCGGGCATCTTCCACTGCTTTCCCAGGCCACAGCAGAGAGCTGGATCGGAAGAGGAGCAGCCGGGACTTGAACCGGTGCCCACCTGGGATGCTGGGCTGCAGGTGGCGGCTTTGCCCGCTCCGCCACAGCGCCTACCCCTTGGGTGTTCTGAGTGCTACCGTGAGCCACTTGGCTGAGCTGGGTCGGATGCCGTGCGTGAGTCCGGTTCTCAGGTGCCGGTGCTCTGCAGTGTCCCGCACCCTGGCCCGGTCGCCGCCGGGCGAGTTTTGCCCCTTGGGCGGTCACACGGCATGAGCTCGCGTCTGGCTTCGCCGAGGCGGTGCTCCAGAGAAGGCCGGCAGCGAGACGGCGCGGTCAGACGGCCCTGGCTGCGCGGGCTCCCCGCGAGCGTGCTGTCCGGCTCTGGCGTCGCTGGGCCTTGCTGGGGACGCTCCGTGCTCAACCGTGGTCAGCTCGCCACGTGGCTGCTTCGGCCTGGACACGGAGGGCGTCCGGAGGCTGGGGAAGCGTGTGCCGTGCACGGGTTCAGATTTCCCTACAGACACACGCCATCAGCTCCGCGTTCCCATGAGCCTTGGGAAGTGCCTGGTGCTCCTTGGTCTGGAGGGTGAACCCAGTTGGACTTGCAGGAGGAATCGCCAGCGTGTTTTGCAGAGTTGCTGCACCGTGTGCCGCACCTCTGCCATGAGCGAGGGGAGTCGCGGCTGCTGCGCTTCTGTGGACACGTGGCGTGGTCCGTGTTGCAGGGCTGGCCAGCCGAGGGCCTGGGGAGGGGTTTGTGGTGGTTCCCCCCACCCCCGACAGGCAGAGTGGATAGAGAGAGACAGAGAGAAAGGTCTTCCTTTTCCGTTGGTTCACCCCCCAGTGGCCGCTGCGGCCAGCGTACTGCGCTGATCCAAAGCCAGGAGCCAGGTGCTTCTCCTGGTCTCCCATGGGGTGCAGGGCCCAAGCACCTGGGCCATCCTCCACTGCACTCCCGGGCCACAGCAGAGAGCTGGCCTGGAAGAGGGGCAACCAGGACAGAATCCGGCACCCCGACCGGGACTAGAACCCGGCGTGCCGGCGCCCCAAGGTGGAGGATTAGCCTAGTGAGCCGCGCGCGGCGCCGGCCGGGTTTGTGGTTTTGATTGGCATTTCCCTCAGGAGTTGAGAAGTTCCTGTGAATTGCCCTGTGGAATGCTTGTTACGACATTGTACCTGATTTTTAATTGAGTGGTTTGTCTTATCAATAAGAATTTGAAAAAAAATACGTACACATACATGTTCACGCATGCACGTGTGTGTCAGGTCATCAGGTCCCCCCATCCCACGTTCACGTATGAGTGTGTGAGTCAGGTCATCAGGTGTCCCATCCCACGTTCACGTATGTGCGTGTGTGTCGGGTTGTCAGGTGCGCCCTGCCCCCCATCTCACGTTCACGTATGTGGGTGTGTGAGTCGGGTCGTCAGGTGTGGCCCCCTCCTGTCTCACATTCACGTATGTGCGTGTGAGGAGGGTCGCAGGTACCCCCCGTCCCGTGTTCACGTATGTGCGTGTGTGAGGCGGGTCACAGGTGTGGCCCCGTCCCGTGTTCACGTATGTGCGTGTGTGAGGCGGGTCACAG